AACAATGTTTTGGTTCACACTTTTCTAGGGTAGTTGAAAGTGGCTATGTATTTTTGAGACCTTTATTAGGGCAATCGAATAGATAAGACTGCTCTTCATTATCCTGTTGCTAACCAGAAGGAAACAGAATTCTAGAAATGAAATCATAGGGGCTACTGACTAGGTACTACTGCCTTTTTAGAACTAAAAAAAAAAAAATCCAACAAAATTTGCCACAGTGTTTGAAATAATCCTATTCCACTTAAATCTAATTTGGAACAAGAACAGAATTTCAGTCCAGATAGCCGTTCTGCCATATTCAACCAAATACAGCTCAGCTACTGTCGGACTAATATTCACCCAACATGGTTATTGGGGTAACATCTGCTAAGAGAGCAGATCCTTTATAAACTCCGGTTCCAATGCTGCAGCATAAGATCTGCTAATTGTCTGTCTGCTCAGCTCTAAAGGAAGAGAAAATCCCTTTTAACATGTACACTTGAGAGAAAGGATGGGCAATAAATTGCTTGAAAAATACAAATTGGCATTTAGCATAATTCAAATTTTAGAAAAATTCCTATGTGAATATTTAGACGTTGAAATGGAATTTTACAGTATTCCTTTTGGAAACCTCCAGAATGTCTGACAAAACCATGTAATGGTCACACTGACACATTTATCTCTTTGTGCACGTTTCTGCCAATGCGGTAAATTTAGCTCCCAAATGATCTAAAAAGTCCAGGTTCTCTTCCTCCGGCTTCTCACTGCAGCAGCCCACAGAGCCCCCCGGGGAGCCCCTCCCCTCGTAGTGATAGGAAAGGACGTAATCTTGCGATGAGAGGTGGTCTTCGTTCTGATGGTACAGGTGCAGTTTCTGCAAAGCAAAAAGAAGCGATTGCATTATTGCTTTAAACACACAAACATACAAACATGAAATATATTTTTTATTTACCTTTTATGTTTAATTTTTAACCAGTGTGTCCTCTAATGGAGTCCTACATACAAAAAATGCACATGATTGGTCTATGTCACAGCCACACCATAAAGTCAGTATATTTCACATTTCTAATAACCCATACGCATAAAAAAACACACCTATGTATATAAATGTTATATTTAAGTACATTTACATTACCATGAAATGCTCATCCCTACATTTCAAATCTAGAGGCCGGACTAGTGCACAGAATGGTGACCATACACAGGTGGTTAGGAATTGGAGCTTGAATGGTCAGACGGTCCTGATTGGAGTCATGCCTCTGGCTTTACCAACCAGCGATGGGACTGTGAGCCAGAGAGTAAATATTTTTGTCTCCCTCTTCTCAAGTCTAAAATGGACAGCGACTATCTCGTGGGGTCAATTTTAAATCCTGGAGGAGGAGTGCATGAAAACAGAGAGAGAGCAGGCAGACAGCGCTGGTGGGAGTGTTAGGCAGGGAAAGGATTGAGGGGAAAAAATAAAGAGAGAGAGAAAGAACTGAGGATACAGACAATAGTGTGGTGATTGCTGAGGGGAAGAGAGGTGTTGGAGGTAGGAGAGGGTATAGGAGGGATAAATGGTGACTTTTTAAAAAAGCAAAAATATAAAAAATATTCTTAGGAAGGGAGGTGTTGGAGGTGGGAGAGGGTATAGGAGGGATAAATAGTGATTTTTTAAAAAAGCAAAAATATAAAAAATATTCTTATTCTGCCCAGCACATAGTATACAGACAATAGCTGTTAATTAAAATCGCTATGTATTATGTGCAATTAGAAAGTAGGATTAGAAGAGGTCAATGGGGGAGGGGGGGCATATGTAATACTTTCAACATTAAAAGAAAAAAGAAAGTAGGTAAGAATTACCTCATTGGCTTCAGAATCAAGTTTATAAGATAGTCCAAACATGACAAAATAGAAATGCACAAAAAATTTCAATAAAATTTAAAATAGCATAACTCACATTGCAAAAACCTGGCCTTTGGGATGGAGGGGCCAAGCTTTCAGCCACAACTACTCTCCTGCCTCTGGCCTGTCTACTGGCCTGTCACACTCCTGTGCCTGCTCCCTCCTCGCCTGTGTGTAACCCTCTCGAACCCCAGCTCACTGTCTTGTCTTATGAGATCAAGCCTCTTCCTTCATGACCCAGGAGCCTCACATCCATGACCTGAGGTCACACTATAAATGCTTCTTAAGCTTCACCTCCCCCCACCCTGATAGTACATGAAACTGACCATCTAGAAACAGGAATAGGATTTACGCTTGAATTTCATGGGGAAAAAAAACATGATACGGACATATGATGAGCTACAGCTGCATCACTGAATGTTGCCCATGTGCAGTCCATCAAAGGATGAAGGGCTTCTGGCCCAGTGTTGGTGTTTCAAGGGCACTGGTGCCCTCTCATCAAAGATGTGAAAACTTAGGACCAGGAAGCAATTCAACCCAGTGGTTCTCTTCCTGGGTTGCATCTGTGAGTCACCTGAGGAGCTTTGCCGGGCAAGGGGGGCGGAAACTAAATCAGAATTGTTCAAGGGCAAGTGTTATTTTTTAAAAGCTCCCCAGGAATTTGGAGGTGCCACCAGGATTGAAAATCCCTTACATACTCTCCTTTCTGTCACACCCTTACTTTCCTCTGAAGGAAACACGTTACGCCTGCATGGTGCTTTGTACATTAAAAATCATTCAGACAGATCATATTATCCCACGTTGTTTCCTAGAATTGTGTACAGATGCTTGGTTTTCACAGAGAAATGGAGCTTTGATTTGGGGAGTTTTGTGATTGTGAGAAATGAGATTTTTTTTTCATATTCTTTCATATTTAAAGAGCTTGGGAGGTAAACACTCACCTAAAACTAAATTGAAACTTAAGGGAGGGATATTAAAAACCTGCAGTGTTCATGAGATTTTAAAATTAAGAGAATATGAGAGATGAAATAAAATCCCTTTTATATTAAACTAGTGGCCCAGTACACAAAATTCGTGCGTGGAGTGGGAGGGGTGGGGGGGTCCTTCAGCCCAGCCTGAACCCTCTCCAATCTGGGACTCCTGGGGGGATGTTCAACTGCCAGTTTAGGCCTGAATCAGCAGTCAGACATCCCTCTCGCAATCCGGGACTGCTGGCTCCTAACCGTTCACCTGCCTGCCTGCCTGATCAACCCTAACCACTCTGCCTGCCAGCCTACTTGCCCCCAACTGCCCTCCCCTCCTGGCCTGATTGCCCCTAACCGCCTCTGCCTCGGCCCCACCACCATGGCTTTGTCTGGAAGGACGTCCGGAAAGTCTCCCGGAAGGTCTCCGGTCTAGTTAGCAGATTACCCTTTTATTAGTATAGGTAATATAACATAATTGAAGAGCAGGGGAACATAACCAGAGATTGAGAAGAGGAAAACATGAAGAATATGGAAATGGAGCTTCTTAAAAAATACATGTCAATTTCAATTTCCTATTGTTCTCCACTCGGACGTTTAATCGTAGCGTGAATCACCGCGGGAAACTCACTTCACGCAGGCGGGGCTGAGTGAAACTGTGCCACTCCGAGTACGTGTGTCTGGAGGTGTCCATGTCCACGTGTCCTCCCCTGGAGTCCAGGGTGTGGTGGTGGCCGCGGCAGGAGTCCAGGGTATGGTGTCCGCCTTTCACCATCTCAATGGTTTCCAGCCCCCCATTTTTCATTCCTGGTCCCAAGGTGCCACAGAAGCCTTGGCTAGAGTTGTTGACCGTCTGGGTCATAAACCCGTTGGCAGAACACTGGAATAAAGTAAAATAAGACCATTCATCTGGGGAGAAAATGGGTTCCAAGGCAAGTCACAGGAAGGCGTGGGAGAAAGAACATTTACTCAACCTTTCATTCATTCATTCCTTCATTCACTCATTCACTCATTCACTCAACAGACATTGCGACCTTCCCAGTGATGTGTTCAGTCTAGAGATGCAAAGATGAACATGGTGTTCAGTGGCTCCGAGAAGTTCTTATTCCAGTAAGACAGAAGGTAGATAATGACTTTAAGAATGATTATTCTGATAGATAGGTGAGCAGAGAATGCTACAGGAGCACAGAGGAAGAACATAAAAATGCAAACCCAGAGAGGTTCGCAGGAGCAGACCTGGAAAACTGAGCTGGAGGACTCCCACTGGGAATGGGGAGCAAGAATGCCCCACCTGCAGGAGGGTCCGGGCCCCAGACTCCAGGACAAAGAATGCTTTGGGGGTTCTCACCTTCAGCCTGTTGAGAATGTCTACCACAAAGAGTTCAGACAGAGAGAGGAAGCTGGAGGCTATAAAAGGCCAGAGGTTGAAACCTGCATGCCAGGCTGAAACATGTAGACCAGCAGTTCTCAACCTGTGGGTTGCGACCCCTTTGGGGGTCGAAGGACCCTTTCACAGGGGTCGCCTAAGACCATCGGAAAACACATATATAATTACATATTGTCTTTGTGATTAATCACTATGCTTTAATTATGTTCAATTTGTAACAATAAAATTGGGGGTCACCACAACATGAGGAGCTGTATTAAAGGGTCGCGGCATTAGGAAGGCCGAGTACCACTGATGTAGACTATCCTGAGAGTACGAGGACTCAAAGAAGGGCTTTCCTAACTGGGGAGAAGCATATTGTTTTAATCATTCTAGGCCATGATGTGAAAGACAAATAAGAAAGACGAATTTAGTCATGGAGATCAGGAAGGCTAACGAATTATTCTAGGAGGGAAATGATAAGGACCTAAGCCAGAGTAGAAGCAGTAATGATGAAAAGAAGTCAATGAAAGAGGGCAGTAAAGACCTTGGTGTGTGTGTGTGTGTAGGGACTGGGAGAAAGGGTGTGAGGAGGGGGATGGGAGACATCTGTAATACTATCATCAGTGAAAAATATATTTAAAATAAAAAAATAAAAGAAGTTGAGAATGCCATAGAGAGCTTACTGGTGGTTAGATGCAGGAGGCGGCAAAGGGTCAGTAATAAGTCCTAAGTGCTCTCCTGTGCAACTAGATTGACAGTACAATTCATATGGAAATAGGGAAGAAGGAAGTGCTTGTAAGTGAGATGGGTGTAAGCCATTCCATTTTGGACATGGTAAACTTGGGGGACGTCCAAGATGCGTACACGAATATGGGGATCTGGAGCTCAGGTGTGAAATCTGAACTGGAGATAGAATTCAGGGAGTCCCTACCCCCTCCAGGTGGTAGTTGAAGCCTGGGAACAAATGCCATCACCCAGGGAAGACTGGAGTCTAAAAGACAAGAGGGCTGAGAATAAACCACAAGCAAAGCCCATTCCAAGGGGTGAATACAGGCATTAGAGCTGTGACAATTGATCCAGAATAGCCAATAGAGGGACCCAAAGAGGCATGACTCAAGCCATGCAAAGGAGTATGGTAAGGAGGCCATTGATCAAAGTAGAAAAAAAACAAAGTAGGATAAGAACTTGTTCAAATAAAGTTAGCACCATTGAATTCGAGTTCTTTACCAAAAGAACTTCCACGGAGTGCTGAGGGAACAGGAAGTAATATCATAGGGAAATCGAGTATAAATCCTTCTTTCCAAAAGTTCAGTTTCACACACACACACAAAAAAAATGAGAGGGTGGGGGGCAGGGGGATGAGAGAAGTTCAACACAGGTGAGAAGCTTAGTTACAGCAGTCACCTCAGTGGGTCAGTTCTAATCATAAACCACTATGGTCATGACAAGATCTCCCATAACGATCAGGCTGTTGTGTGCCATCTTTTTAGCCATTTAACTTTTTAAATGTAATATGCAGAGTCTCTGACTAAAATGGAAGATTTTCAAGTTCAGATGACTTACTGAACCTAAACTCTGTCTATAAAGGTCATACATACTATCTCACTGGCTTAGAAAAAGATGGAAAAAGAGAATTGCAAAGCAGCCATTGGGTGGCACTGCTAGCCTATGTTTTTTACTTAGGTTGCTGCTACAGTACGTTTCTATTACCAAAAAAAAAATCCTGATTTTCAAATCTTCGTATAATTTTGTCATTACAAATACATGCTCATCAACCATATCTCTAAGCTAATGAGAGGAGAATTGAAAATAAACTAACATGGAAGCTGAGCCCACAGTGCTGTTCTACATTCTCTCTGCTCTCTGTCCCTTTCACCCACCTCCAGGTGATTCCCCAGAGTTTACTCTCCCAGGGAATCACACTTCCTTCAATATGTCAGGGACTTCCAGATTTACTCCCCAGTCCCGATTTCTCACCCAACTCCCAATCCCATCTTCCAACACACACACACACACACACACACACACACACACACCACACGTTTTGATCTGGGGTATGGAAAAGGCTAAAGGCTATAGGACATGGGGGCAACTGACAATGTTATATACACACCCGAGTGATATGCAAATAAACACAGACTTGAGAGTCAGAGAGGTAGTACTCACCAAATATTCTGTTCTCCCCCAC